ATTATAAAGTGTCCGGTTTATAAAGGGTTGCACGTTATTGTTTTATATACAGCACTTTGTACCCAAACGTGTATTGGTTTCGTGAGATCTGACCCATCGGTAATTACCCACTCTACTTTAAATTACACTTGCTACCAGTAAAGTATCATAAGTTATCAGTTTGATGAAAAAGCCCTATCTCCACTATCCAGTAAAGAAATACAAATGTTATACCAATTCATGTGTGATGATAGAATAGCTCACCCGTATCTGTACTGGCTCAATATTGATTTTTTGAATAATGACTAATATATCCTGCCTCTATAAATTTTAGCATCAGAATTATTTTTTATAGATAAAAAATGTCTTCAGGAATTGATAGATATGTATTTTTAAATTTGTTATATGAATTATTAATTTGTAATTGGACTATTTCCCATTGCATACAGATGTACGCAAGCGTTACACTTGGCCATGAGCAGCTGTGAGCGAGAACTATGCAACAGCAGTTTACATTTGGAGAGCGGGCTAATGGATTTCCTGTTCATATTATATATCATTTATTTAGCTATGTTACATATCCTCTCGTATGTAACAGGTCGTTATAGAGCTTTGGACAATCTTCGGACACAAGTCTTCGCTAGTCTGGACAATTTTTGAATTAGACACTTGCTATTACATTATGTTCCTGATATATCAAGAATTAAATGTCGCTAGTAAATAATTAATCAAAGTCGCTAATTGAGTCCGGATTACTGCGTCCGGAGTAACGAGTTCGGAATATCAGAGCCGGATTAACGAGGTTTCATCGACAACAGAGAGATGTCACATGATGCACAGGTCGCAATCTCTATTCAGAGTTGTCGTTCCTTACACACACTGTGTGAAGGGACGACAACTCTGGGTCGAGATCGGTACAGGTTGACCAAGTGTCCAACGAAGACCTGATTAACAAGGACAGTTGGCAACATACATCAAAGCAGAGCCGATCAAAATTCGTGATAAAATCTCCGAAACATAGCAAAATAAGCATTTTATGCTGTACGGGTTTTTTCTTCAGAAATGTCGATCAAATTCTTCCTCTAAAATGCAGAACATGATATGTTTTTCTAGTTAAAAAATCTGTATAGCAAAATTTTAGCTTATATATTGTTGTAATTATTATATTTCGTAGAAGACATTACGAAATTATAATTGCTGTCTGAGACTGCTGACGTAGCATCAGGGATGTGTACGTATACATAAACTGTGCACGCCCTGTAATCGTACGGTGATACATACTGTTTTTCAATCAGTGCTTTACACAGTTAGCGCCTCGTGTCTCACTGGTCTACCATACATTGTAGAATAAACAGAAGTACGTTTGGGATGTCGACCAGGAAGGCAAATAGGCACGTTCATGAATCATTCACGTTAAAATAACCTATCCGGTAGCTAATGGGAAAAATCGATACATAGATATTGGGACCTTTATTTTTTCGTCTCATCGCATCAAGACGTTTTTCTATCAAATTATTTAGTGTTTGATCTGTAGACGTAAAGAATGAGATGTGTTTAGCCATTTTTAGTATGAGCCAGACAAATAGATATACGTCCATGACAGTCGTGCATGGTAAAGGATCTGTCTCCATAACAACTCCAGGAAAACGCCTGTAAGCAATATGGCGTTCCTTCGAATACCATCAAAACAAATGGATATAATAAACATGAAAAAAAACACCTTTTCAGTTCACAGAGCGTAAAATTAATCATTAACGCGAATTAACGATAAAATACAATTGTACCGGATGTAAGCGCACGGGGAGGAAACCAGAGTATATGGAGAAAACCAGCGTGTTGGGCAAGTTACCCCATACCTTCTAACGTCCGATCGGGGAATCGAACCCCGGCCACCTTGGTGAAAGACAAGTGCGCTATAAACTGCACCACCCGACCACCCACGATGTTCAGCCCTAAGACAAGCCAAATTTCCAAAACATTAGTATAAACCAATAAACGTAAGAACTTTAATCCGAGCATATTTTCCAATAAGAAACTGTTCAGATCTTCTATCAAAGTGTTAATAGCAGTCGGTGACCAATCACGATGTGACGTCAAATTCAAATTTTGACGGACATTTACGAATATGATTTCCGGTTGATTTTCGTCGCCCGACCGAACTGGTTACCATAAAATACACGACGTTGCTCCCCAAGAAAGTAACACTCTATCATTTTTAATCGGGTCTTCTCGTTTTAATGTTAGAGTAATTAGGAACTAACATTGTCGTGACGTCAAATCAAAACTTAAAAAGAAATTCCCGAATGGCTTCCGATATATATCTCAATGTAAAATATCGTATATCCATGTATGATTGTTAAATATTAAATGTACACACGAAATAGGTTTGGCACATCAGAATATCTACCATTCATAGATATTACATACCAACTTATCAAAATATAAGAATATCAATGTTTCTTGTGTGTTGACTCTGTGATATAATCGGTAGATGTGTGTGTTGACCCTGTGGTACCTGTACATCTAGACCCAGTTACTTATTTGATTCAACATGTACTACTCTCCCAAGAAATTATGTTAACAGTGCTTATGATTATAATCATATGTTGATAAACTGATAAAACGCTCTGTTTTCACAAGATTTCTAATGTAATGCAGTGAGTACAAGCGAAAGTTCCCTTTAATTTTTCCTGAAGATTTATTTTTTCTATGAAATGTTTCAAACGGTTTTTTGGCGAAGATTTCAATCCTCTATATGAACAATAGCTTGAGGTTTGTTTTGTTTTAATATATCTGAACAAATACTAACAGCATTCAATATTTAATTTGCGACAGATTTTACACGCGACTAATCTGAAGATATATAGATCGCTAAAACTAACTAAGCTACAGTATTTAAAACAGTAGTGTAGCATACTGAAATTTTCCAGAAAATGTTTTTAGTAATATATTTTAATTCATTTCATTTTTATGATTAATATAGACCGTCCGTATCAATCATAAAAAAGGAAAGAAATTGAAAATCTTCTTGAAAAATTTTGTATGATAAAATAGTGTTTATACACATTGACAAATCTCCAATCAAAAACTACCTAGTGTAGTACCAAATTCAATATTATTCATATAAAAAGTAGGGTTTTACTTGTTAATAATTAGACTAAAAGGGGGTTCCCAGAACACAGGAGATTTATTCTAGGGCCCAGTAGATTATTTTTCCAGCTATCCCTCCCATACCATCCCCCTACCTCGGCGATACGCGCCTCAGACGATCAACCCTCTGCAAGCAAACACTCCGAAATGTTCAAAACCTAAAATTACGGCAGTGTCATTTGACATGTGACGTTTTCGTAGTGGAGCGTCAATCAAAGCGTCAGATGATCCCGTTATAATGGATCTGGGACTGCAAAATTCTGTGTTGTAGCAACGTAATAGTTTAAGACAGTTGTGTGTGGGCCATCACGCTAATGACAGTAAATTACCTCTTAGCCTCACCTCGGTGAAATATCAAGGTCCTAGTGTATGCTGGCTCGTAGTTTTAGATGTCGGCGCTTGGCTTCAATATTTCACTGTTCCAATTCATTACACATTTAAAAGGGATTTAAAAAACCATTACGGTCTCGTTTTATAAAAATCACTACGAAATTTCGAGATTCATTATGAATTTCTTACAGATCAATACTTGTTTTCTCATCCAAATGGTTATACATATTCATGGTTATGTTTATTCGTTTGTTTATTTAATAGATAATGTGAGAAACTAAACTAAACGGAATTTTCAAAACATGCAATTATAATAACATGAGACAGTTATAGAACCAAGAAACCGATTCAAATTAAAGGCCACATTCATGGTTTTTGAGGTCGAAATAACGAGGTTCAATGATATTACAAGGCACGTCAAACATATCGGGGTGTACATACTAAACTATGGTTAACATTGAAGTCTTTACGTCTGCATGCTCGAAATTCTAGGGTTACGCGCATTTAGGTTCTCTGCGCAACGTTAGGGGGCGTAACCAAAGGAGTTTCCCATAGGATAGAGGATGCGAAATTCTTGGGGTAACGCTCACCTGCGTTTTCTGCACAACATGGGAGAGGATAACAACGGAAATTTCGAGGATTGTACATTCAATGCACGTCTGTAGTAATTGAAGAATAGTGTACAATGAATTGAGCCTTCGATATTTGGTACAGTAAAACGTCGTTATCGCGAAGATAAAAAAACATGATATAAAAATAGTATTTATTGAATTTGATTTCAAATACATACATTAAACAGTCATTTCATAAAAAAAATCGAGATAAAAGTGGTTTTCGAGATACTTGAATTAATTGTAACAATAGTAAAATTATAACGAAGTTCCTTTTTTCATCACACGACTTCGTTGTCTATCTATTCAATTGTGTAGCGAAAAATCACACCAATATTTCATCTTTGCGATTTTTACCGAATAGTTTGGTATTTGTTATCATAAAAGTATGATCTTACACTTGATGTTTCCATTAGGATAATATTTCATAGAGATTAATGGTTGCTATCTTAAATGTGTGTAGACATCGCATTGCTCGCTTAATTTATCTGTGGTTCCAAAATTTGTGATAGGAAATAAAGGACATAATTACTATTGTCAGACACACCAGAATGAAGCGTAATGGGCAACAGACACGTGGTCAGTATGTCTGAAGGCCGCTGCGCTGCAATGGAAATATATAACTTCATCCCTTATAACTAACATTTTTTCAAAATTGTTCCCGTATTAAGTAATAACACGCGCACTTGAGATTATTTTCGTGTTGAAAGGAAGTTATATCATGAATAGAACACCACTCGACCGAAACTTTGCATATTGACTACAGTCTTACATTCACGACATCGCAATGCAGAATGCGTTGACTGCTTCAGATAATTGGGAATGACAGTATACGATAGGGTGATATTGACATGACAGCCTATAATGATCACTGTGGGCTCTATAACGCGGGCGTGTGGTGTAACACTAGCACTTTGTGATATTACTTACCTATTCCAGCTCCAATGATGACCCGTCCAGCAAGTAGGAGGTACTTATCCCCGGCAATTGCCATACAAACGGCCCCAATGGTGAACACTATGCTAGCAGCCATAATAACAGGCCGACGTCCAAGTCGGTCATTTAAATACCCTCCTATGAGTGCAAAAACGGCGGCAGCGGCGACGGTGACGCTAACAATAAGTTCCTGCCAGACCGACGACAGATTGAATTCATTCCGGAGCAAGATCATTGCCCCAGATATAACACCAGTGTCATACCCGAACAGAAATCCTCCTAGGGCCGAGAAAAATGTCAACACGTACACAAAAGTTGGTGTTCTTGGTTTTGAAACGATGCTGTCCAGTTTGAGTTCGTGCCGCTCCTCTTCTGGTTCCTCATAAAGGGAGCGGGGCCGGCCCCCATTAGTGCTCCCGTTTGATTTGATACTCATGATGCCCTGTAGAAGCGCACCTGGCGATCTTGTCAACCCCGATGCTACATCCTCCGCCTGTCCCTTTCACTCTGATAGCTACTGTACTCGGCTCGTCGTGATTGCATTGTCGCGTCAGGGGGGACAATCTGATCGATACCCACGTTTGCAATCCACAAGTGACTGAAACCTTAGCCGTATAGAGCAGTGTGATCGATCGCTATTGACTGTATAAATCGAGCTTGGAGAAAACCATTTTGTTGTAGTCCAAAATCACTAATGACGTCAGAGAAAATAATGATGGTCGTAAACGATTTAAGGACTGGTCCACACTGAAAGCTCGGTGAAAAAGGATCGTCAGGCCCTCTTATAAAACAAACAATTTATCGATTCATTAAGACGGCCGTGTTTCTGCTGTATAATAAAACATAGCCTACCTACTTTTGAAGTGCTAAATTCTTTGCTACTTTTACTAAATAATTCAATGCAGAGTTGTAATACTTTACTTGGCGTTTTATGCTGTAGGCGGAACTGATTATCTGCCCTGTGTGTACAAAAACAAACTAATAATTCATTAGCAGTAAAACTGATTGACTACGTATGTAGGAGAGGAACAGATAAACTATGTACCTGAGATGTCTGTCACGTAGAAAACATACAAGTATACCTGTATATTTATGTACTGTTGGTATATGTTTGTCATATTGTGAAGTTTACCTGTGATACAGTGTACCTATGTATACGTGTATTGATACTGTATGTAGTGTGTATGCTAATATTCGTGTAGGCTGATAAAAAGAAGACACGGCCGGCTATGAAAGGCTCTTGTGTTCACTTTATACGGATACAAATAACAAGAAATTGACATTTGAAATTGTGAATGAAATTGGATGAATGAAGCAGACGACCTGTTGGGTTGTTAATTTTTTATTTTTTTTAAAAGATCTGCAGTGAATATAAAGTGTAGAATTATCTATGAAGCGTGCGGTAAAATGAAGCTCCTTCCTTTCAGTGTATAATGAGTCGAGGCACCCATCCTTGCAGTGTGTTGCGATACGAAGCACTATCTCTGCAGTGAGTGGTGAAACGAAGCACCACCCCTGTGGTGTTTGGCGAAACAAAGCACCATCCATGCAGTTTGTGGCAAAACGAAGCAGTATCTTTGCAGTGTTGTAAAACATTGCATCATCCCTGCATTATGCGGTGAAACAAGACATAATCTCCGCAGTGTTTAGTGAAACGAAGCACCTTCCCTGTAATATGTGGTGAAACGAAGCACCACTCTACAGTGTGTCGGGAAATGAAGCACCTTCCTTGCTCTCTGTGTACAAAGATGGTTTAGTGGGACGTAAAAATAATATGATGAAATCCTAATAGAAAATCACCTCGTTCTTTTGTCGCTAGCATGGGGAAACAATACATTTGCTCTGATGCTAATTGCGTGTGAAAGAACTTGCTCAAGTTTAGTGGGACGTAAAAATAATATGATGAAATCCTAATAGAAAATCACCTCGTTCTTTTGTCGCTGGCATGGGGAAACAATACATTTGCTCTGATACTAATTGCGTGTGAAAGAACTTGCTCAATATTCCTGATTACTTTAGAATGATTGTAAATTCTGATCGATGATATATTGCATTATCTGATGAACGTTTGGTTCTGTTGAAACTCGTTATCTCGAAAGAAGTTTGGCGGAAAACTGCCCGTATTTCCCTAAGTCGGCATTTATGAAAACGGGAAAACAAATTAAAGAATAAAACATTCCGTGTATCAAAAATGCATACAAAAGATATAGAACCAATTGAATATGAATTTTTAAACTGCTGAGAAATTAGGTATTGCTAATATGATACTGCAAATATAGCCATATACACTATATCTATGAAAGTGATGGGGTTTCCCGGACTTAAAAAAATACTTTCAACACTTTCCCATCAGCGGACCAACTTTTGAACAAACTCTTTGTGACCGTGATGTAATATGCAAAAACAAATCGTATTACGGAAAAGTGGTCCTCCTTTGGGAAAGTGCTCAAATAATGAAAAACAGGATTGATCAAGTTTCTCTAAACTGCGACAGGTGTTTCTCGGGTTAAATCAGTTTGAAATTGCCGATATCCATATGTTCTATGTAGCCGAATATGTAACGCAGTTTACTTGTGACTAAAAAATAAACGGTGCAGGTTCGAATCTTCCCTCATTTTTTTTTTTTTTTATTTATTTTTTAAATATTTAGGCATGTGCTAATTTTCCTTAATGAAGCAATATTTTGTTTTTCAAATCAATGGAAAAATTTGTTAACATTTTAATAACATACCTTTTATCAGTTTTGTTTGTAATAATTTCGTTACTATTTAGTGCGACATACTTCTATCAAAGCATGTCAACAAATCCCTTCACACGTGTACAGTACAGCTTTGATGAAATTTATGAACTGTTTGACCCTCCAACTGGCAAACTAATTATATCTAGTGCTCAAACACCAACAAATAATGCCGAAATACCAAATATGTGGGATTTGTTGCGTCAGAATAAAAAAAAGGGCAGGCAAGAAAAATGAACTGTTGTTATCGGAAATATTTTACCGAAAATGCGGGAAAACTTATCAGCGAGGACAGCCTCATTTGCTTGAAATGTCATCTATGTCAATCGTGAGGAACCAGACCTTGTCCATGCTCGTCTTAATTTCCGCCATATTTCATCAAAGCAACACAACCTCTGGGTAAAATTTTCACAGCGCAATATAACCGGCTGGTACTGTGAATGTCGAGCAGGTGCCCGTACTGTTGGACGCTGCTCACACGTAGCCATGGTATTGTGGTATTTATGTTTTGCTCGACATGCGGATTATCGCCCGAGACCGGATACTTTCTCAGAACTCATTCTGAATGCTACCGAATTACCGAACGCAGGTAGTAGTGATGAAAAATTAAATCCGTTCAAAACTGTTTCGTATAGATTGCACGATCTTGTATTACATATAAGCGTATACTTTGTTATAAATCAATATAAATAACGTGAAATAAGCATTGTGTTGAGCCTTTATCGTTAAACGCATGTATTAATAGCCATGGCCTTAAATTCGTCTTTTTACAATAATCTATTCTTAGACACAGGATTCCGATATAGCTACCTGTATACCTGAGGACGCGTCATAACAGTGCACGGTTGGCTGCGCGCACTAGCGTAACATAACTTTGGGGGAATTTAGGGTATGTGTTTCAGGCTCTGTATGATATTGACAAAAGTTAGATAATATGACTCCTTTTTCATGCTTGTTGCGGGCAACCATCTGAACTTCCCCTCTTCTGCTAAATATGTTTCCGATCATTTTTAAATGATGCATGAGTCCTATTTTCACAAGATTGCCTAATGGTTGGCGTTCTTTTTCGACTTAATGATTGTTTAGATAGGCGCTTCGTTCATCTTGTGATTATCTTAATGAGTGTTGGCTATGCTGGTTGATAATCATTCCTCGAAGCTGGCCGTGATGCTGTAACTTGAATTTAGGTTGGCTCTGGTTACGGGCATTAACTATATAAAATGATATTATCTGTGGTACATGTAGCCATAAGATGGAAATGTGATAATTGTGGAGAGCCTTTTCTTATTTGCTATATTTCAGCATATGTTTCAAAACATTTTGCCTGCACAAGGCTGAAAGAAGTGTTCCTTAGACCCTTCATTTCATTTCGTTGGGGTGATACGGTTTACTGTTTCACAATTAAATGTCAGATTTGCAATACATATCTGTTAGTGATCATTCTTTAAGAAGCAGGATAAGGGGAAGAGTCATTAAAAGAACGCTAAACGTGGTGTCGTTCCATTGTCTAACATCAATGTAGAGAAAATCGTCTCATTAGATTATATTATAGCTAATTATCTTTACCCTGTATTTTTCTCTCTCCAAATTTCAAGTGACAGTGATGCAATATTATAGAGATGTACACAAAACAATTCTATTTTCCAAATTTTTGGTTAAAAAATAATAAGTTGTCGACATTGATGTCTTGTTTACCTTTTAATATTATCGTAAATTATGTACGGTGTAGTTGTTTAATTTCGTGGTGCTAATATTTCGCGGTTGCCCGTTCAGAACCAGTATACCTGGATTGAATTTCACGCAACATGGCTAGATAAAAAAATTGCGATCATTAGGTTACTTTCATATTCCGATGTTTGGATGTATTTTACTGGTGATCTGTGAAAATGTGATATTGAATTGTTGTTTTATCCTGATAATTTGGTAGGAATCGGGCAAACAGACTTTTTCTTTTATGTCTGCATATTTATATCACGGATAGTATATTGGTGATCGCGAATATAGCGAAATTAAATCCCCCGCAAATATGACCAACTTTACAGAATGGTATAGTTACGCGTTATTCAGCTGCTAACTAGATCTCAAATCAATCGTTTCATGGATGTTTTGGGAATTATCCCAACTGTTGTCCACGGGTATTTGATATGATTTGGTTGCTTCAGTCTTCGTGCACCGAGGGGAAATAGTTTTTTTTTAATTTTCCATGAACAGCCATGAAACAACTGTATACAACTTAATCCATCAGGTAACGATTACATATTACTTTACGTACGAGTCAATCCCTTACTCAATCAACGCCATCAATCATATTGGATACCTGAGAAACTCATTGGACACCTGAGAAACTCATTGCGATACCTGAGAAACTCATTGCGACACCTGAAAGCTTCATATTCATGAATTGTTTGTTTGATTTTGTTATTGAGAAGAATAATCGACAATTGCTTTAAAGATTGTTTTGGCCTTTCATTCATTACACTGCTCTCGTTCAGAAATAAAAACCTTCTCATATCGAGGGTATTTTCAGTATTTAAGCAACGTGAGTGGTGAGAGAGACCGTTAATAACGTGTGTCTAATACGGGGGTTTGGATGTGGAAAAGAACTTTCATATACACTTTTTGTCTTTTTTGTCTTTTTTTTTAAGACATTCTCCTGATGATTTAACATGGAAACTGATTTGTCTTGTGTGTATTATGTACATGTACATTTATCTGCATAATGAGTTGGGGTGCTGGTGGTATTGAAATTGATGAAATGATCTTTAGGCTGTGAAAGCTTTGATTGCTGTGTTTGAGTAAATGTATGCTAGCACTATGATCCGTTGATGGTTTGGTAATGTCATCCATGGTTAATTACATTTAATCCATATTTGAGTGATTTCCGACTATTTGATAGACGTCTTTAGGTTTTACTTCACAAAACTGTTCCCCTCATGTTTCCAATGATAATGATCAAATAATAACTTAAATAAAGTCTTGTATCTCATTGTAACTGTTTATAAGGTACATACTGTTGGTGTCATTTGTTTTGTTTCAAAATA